CTCCCCCTCCGCCGCTCGCTCGCACGCACCTACCACTAACCGCCACCCACCTACCTCACCTGTAGTCCCCTACTTGCTTCTCTTTATATGCAGGCAGGAGAGATCCCAGAAAGCGAAAAAGCCCAAGAATAGCTGCTATGTTCAACCCCAACAACTCCACCTCCAGTTCGTTTTGATCTCTTCCCCCATCCAACCCTACTCCGCAGCAGCCTCGCTAGCACACGGAAATGGCGTCATCCTATCACAGCCCACTCAGCGCAGAGCGGGCGGAAAAAAAAAAAAACAAAAAGAAAGCGTCCAAAGCCACAGCGATACGAAACCACCCAGCCAATCACAGAATCTCATCCACTGTTCCGTAGCGCCCCAACACACAGGATCAGCCAATCAGTAACGTCATTACTGATACACTATCGGGGCCGCCGGACGTTTATCAATAACCTCTTCGGTTGCGGGAAGAAAGTTTACGAGAATGAGTATTACCTTTAAGTTCAGTTGCTAGCTGCGCCCTATTAGGTTGGGGGGTCCTCGGGTAAGGCGGCAACTTCTAATACAGGAGACGGCGGGCTGGGTCTCCAGAGCCAAAGGGAGCGTGTTACCAGCCGGAGCAGGTCAGTTCTGCACCAGTTCCTCCTGCACAAAACGTGGGACCTTCTCCAGTATTATCAGCGCTGCTTAAACCTGCCTTTCCCGGAGTCCTAGTCTGAGGTGATAATTGGGCTGTGAGCATCTATGTGTGTCAGTTATCGCATGCAACATCTCTCCGGGCTTGTATCACTGCGTGCCGCTGGGGTCCAGGCTGTACCTTAAGGACATTTGAAATTACCCGCCCCTCAAGCTGCTACCAAAAGGTGATATAGTGTGTTTTCTTCCCCCTCTGCTACCGGAGATGCTCACCACTTCACCTGTGTATGGTTGCTGCTGCACCCCAGGGGAATCAGTTAGTTGAAAACCAACTTGCAAAGAACAGAAAAGGAGAGTCACTTTCGGTCACGTGGGTTCCCTTTAAGTGCATGACTACAGGGTGAGTCAGAGCAGCTTGCTGATCTGATTGAAAGCAAGTTGCACTTTCTCTGTAGGGTCATTTGCAATCCGATCTAAATAAGCAGGCAGCCACCCAGGCAGTGTCTGGGACCAACTCCAGGAGGGTGCAGAAATGGGTGTGGGGTGGATCACCCTGCTGAGGTTCTCAGCTTGAGTAGATGTGAAACCACAAGAGAGTGCTAGCTCTCCTCACAGGTAGTGGTAGACTGTCTCCTATGTGGACCAGCTAGCAGAGGGAGTGAAACATCAAGTTCTCATAGGCCTCATACCCTTTCAGTCCTCCTTGCTATTCCTAGTACCAAACTTGTCCTTGGGGTGTCAGATCCCACAAAAGACATACAGTGGGGGAGGGGGCTAAAGGATATTCATCCTGTGGGCTATTGCAAGGGTGAATGGAAGGATAAAAACCTGTTACAACATGACTTACTTTAAAACATCTCTAATGCAGCAAACCAAGCATAATGAAAGCTAATGTCAACCATAACCCCAGATGAAGCAAATCCATGTAGGCTGTCAGACTCCAGGGACATAGTCTATTTCCTGTTTTCCTTCAGTCCCTTCCTTCTTCACAGATTGGTTTAACCCATTTCCTGGGGAAACCTACTGCCTGCAGTCACTAGGAGCAAGCAACACCTACCAAGGATCTCTCAGCTTCTTAATATCACATATATCATAAAGACTGCTTCTACACAACTTCTCTCCCCTCAACATCTTCCTGTTTATCTGAGGAATAAACTTTGCTCTTGTGTCTTTGGTTGGGCAGGGGCCAGCCCAGCAAACACAGCCTCCACAGAGTCCTACTGACAGTCCATCCAAAGGAAGGAAGCAGCTGTATTTGGGGAGACCCTAGCCCAGGTTCTTAGGATAACACTGATTGCAGGATCATTCTGACTGTGCATGAAGGAACTGAGAGGGCTGTCAGCCAGCAGTTGCTCTCAGCCCTTTGGCATCTCTTCCTAAGGAAGCCAAACACAGGGAATAGTTTTGGACTGGAAAGCACAACCAACAAGGAGAAGAGAGGCTTGAAGGGGGTTGTGACAGGACTGGATTTTTTTTTTTTTGATGCACACAAGACACCTATTTCTGGCTTGGTTTTAGTGTTTTTGCACTCCAGTGGTTTAACATTCTAGTAGCTTGAATTCTGGGGCTAATAGAAAGAAAATATCAACAAACTACCCAATAAAGGAAGCATTGACCCTAGTGCAAGAGTTTTATTGCTCCAGAGGTCAGCTCCCCTTGCCAGCCTGGTGTGTTTGACCTTTCTCTACATAGAAAGGTCCTTTCCTTAGCCTGGCTCTGCCTGCCTGGGTCTGATCCTTCCCACTATGGCTGCTCTTAGAGATGTCAGGCTGTGCATACTCCACTCTTGGGGACCCCATTCACATCTAGCCATTGGCAGCCAGCAGGGGAAGCAGAGAAGCCTCCACTCCTCCTCTTCCCCCCACATGCTCTGAGCTGCTGAGCCATGGCAGTCATCATCACCTGGTGCTACCATGGCGACCCCTACTTGTCTGATCGTGAATTGCTCAAAAGAAGAAAATGATGCTTTGAGACCTGACAGCACTCTACTGTTTGGTACTGCTTCTTTGGAGTACAATGACATTTTGTGGCTCTTCAGCCAAACTATAGACTGTGTTTGTGGAGAGCTCCACATATCATAACTTAGGCAGTTCTTCATAGTAACAAAACAAGTTAAGCATCTGTCCCCTTCTCAACCCCAAGCAGCATTTTTTCCATGTTAAACCTTTCCTTAGCCTTCCCTCTGTGCCCCACTCGCATATCCACAACTGAAGGGAGTCTTCTGGAAATTGGACTTGATGCAACCAGAACTTCCCCAAAAATCCCTAAAATACCAGGAAACAGAGATACACTTTTGGGAATCTCTTTATGTGAGGGAGCAACTGGAATGTATGGAGCTCTGCCTAGGGGTGGATGAAGAGCAAGTTGAGAGCCTATGGGTAAGGATTAAAGGGCAGGCTAACATGGGTGACACTGTTGTGGGGGTTTCCTACAGGCCCCCTGATCAGGAAGAAGTCATCGATGAGGCCTTCTACC